ATAAGAATGTTATCTGAGATTAATCGACCAGGTACAAAAGCACTCTGAGACACTAAAATAATACCCTCAAGCAGCGGTTTCATGCGATTCGCAAGCATTTTGGTCATTATCTTATACAACACATTACATAAACCTATTGGTCTCAAATCAGACAAAGACACAGGGACACATTTCTTTGGAATCAGGACAATATTGGCGTTATTCAAATTAGCAGGAAAAGATGACTGTGAAAGACAATGAATAACGAAATCAGTAACATCCTTACCAATGATATCCCAGAAAGACTGATAGAAGCCCGGATTCATGCCATCTAGGCCCGGGGATTTGTCCTTGCCCATAGAAAACAACGCGCGCCGCACCTCCTCAGGCTCGAAAAGACGTAGGAGGTCCTCATTTTGAACACTGGTCACTCGTGCCTGCATGGTATCCACACTGAAAGCCCTAGGGCTCCCCCCTGAAGCAAAGATCTGCCTGTAATAAGCAGTGACCACCGTGTCCAATGCGTTGCCCTCTCTCCAGACACCGCTATCATCCATCAACTTCAGAATTACATTATTCTTCTTCCGGTACGAAGCATACTTGTGAAAGAATTTAGTATTCCGGTCGGCCCCTTGAAGCCAGTGCTGCTTTGCACGTTGCCTCCAAAACGCCTCCTCCTGGGAGAGCACCAGACTCAAACGGTCATCAAGGAGCCTAAACCGTGCCAAAGAAGCAGGATCGTGGCAACCCCGTAACGCATTCATTTCCCTCTGAATATTCTCAATCCGTTTACCAAACTTGTGATAGTGGTAACCACCCCACTTCTTGAGACCCCGTCCACATGAGTCCAACCTTGCCTGCATAGCCATACCTGGGGATCTAGACCACTCCCTCTCCACCACCTCCCTACACCCATCATCCAGAAGCCATGCATTCTCAAAACGAAAACCCTGTTGCCTTGGTGCATGTGACACCCCATAAATATCAAGAAATAGCGCGGTATGATCCGATGCGTTAGTACGAATGTTAAACAACCTTGCCTTATCATACTCTTCTAGCCAATCCATGTTTGCCACCACTCTATCCAGACGCTCCTCCACCCAGCGAGCAGTCCCTTTTCCACGCTCCCACGTAAAGGGGTAACCAATCATGGGTAACGTCATTAATCCACAGTCATCTAAGGCCTCCCCAAAGTCCTCTATCAAACCAGCTGGGTGCGGCAACCTACCCCTCTCCTCAAACTGCATCAACAAATCATTAAAATCACCTAAAACCACCCAAGGAAGATCAGACACCCCCCTGAGAGACCTCAAGAATTCCCATGCAGCCCTCCTCCTATCCCTCTGTGGAAACCCGTAATAACAAATTTGCCTCTATTGTCGCCTATCTGGAAGCGACACCACTAAGTCTATATGGTTGCGTGAATAATTAATCAGGCTGGCACAGTTATTCTTCGACCACAAAAAACACATACCTCCTCTCTGGCCCTCACTATCCACACAAAAGCACCCCTCAAACCCCAACCTTAGACGAAGCCTCTCAGCATGACTCCCATCTACCATCGTCTCCATAAAAAACACGAACTCGGGCTTCTTCTTGGACACTAAGTCCACCACCTCACGAACCGTCCGTGGATTTCCCAAGTCACGGCAGTTCCAAAACAAGGTACTCATTGGGAACGGCGGGCCCGATCCCAGGTCCCACCAAACTTTAAAAACCAGAGTCCACCTGCATGTCTTTTCCACCATCCAACTCCACTCCATCAACCCTCCTACGCCTTTTGGGATCTGCCCGTACACCCATCTCCGCCTCTACGGCGTCATCCACCAAATCAGCAACAGGGGTTTCCGGCACCACACTTAAGGCGGATGCCGCCGACGACCGTCCCTGCCCCGCAACCGCAGCTTCTCCCCCCGTACCAGGCCGCAGTCCCCGGACTGTCCGCCCCCCGCTGGTACACTGCCATACCTATCTCACGCCGGCTCTCCCGGCCAAGCTGGAACCATTTATCCCCTAATTCCTTTGTTGGGTTCATCCCACCCGCCCTCATTCCCGGTCCATAAAGATACTGTGCTGGCTCCAATGGCGAACGTCGTGCCTCTAAACAGAACTTATCTGTGTGGCCCAACTTTCCACAAAAGAAGCAGAACATATGCAGGAGTTCATATTTGAAGTTGACCCAAACCCAAGAACCATCGCGCAAAATCATCTTTATTCGACACTTTAGGGGGTTGGAGATGTCATGAGTTACTCGCACCCTATAGAAAGCAGTCCAGGGTCTCACAAAACACCGGTCATCTACTCGCAGAAACACCCCTATGAAATTGCCCACCTTCTCCAGAACTCTCTCTGTGCGGTAGCCGATTGGCAGGTCGAACACCTGCACCTAAAGATCCACCGTGTTCAAAGCCACCTGTGCCGGATGATCATCCCCTTCTAGCGGCTGGCAAAGAAACGTTGCATTCTCGAAGGCCCACGACCCTTCATCCAGGACACGGCGCCAGTCTGCGTCATCGAAGAAAGTAAACAGAAATAGCCCAGGCTGAACATCGGAAATCTCAATCCCCATTAACGGACGCCATGCAGACGCCATAACCCACTTCATCATCTCAGTCTTCAAATTCTGATCAGTCAGAAATCGGCCTACAATCGACCACGTTCGACGCTCCGCAGCCTGATCGATACTGCCAGTTGGCTCTTCCTCAAACCGGACCCCCAGGTCCTCATCCTCCAGCATGATATCAGCGGTGCTATCAATAATAATCTGAACGTCCATGGCGAGAGGACATACACACGAAGCGAAGAAGCACGTTCCAATGGCCGATTACGTAGAAAGCCCTAGATACCAGGGAGAGAGAAAAGAAAACCCTAGATACCAGGGAGAGAATTCACTATTTAAAAAAAAAATGCATAAAAATCAAATGATTTTAAAGTTCTTGATTTATAATCTTTGATGCTTGACTTTGAATGTTATGTATTTAGTCGGACTAATTATTTGAACAAAGTTTATGTTAAATTTTGTATTATATATATTTTTTTAATACATTTTAACATATTCGTAGTATATGTTTAACAATTATGCCAACTCTAATTGGGATGAGGTTCGAATCTAACACCTTTATTATAGAAATTATTGAGTAAGTTAAGAATAATAAATAGTTAACGGAATATTCCGTTAAGAAAGTTTATACTAACGGAATTTAAGGTTATTTAAGGGAATAAAATAATATAATAAAGGGTAAATAAGGAAAATCATTAAGAAATACTAAAATCAAAATAATATGAACCATTCATTTTAAGAAACAATTAGGACCGATATTTTTTTATTCCAGTTAAGGGCCTAACATTATTGGCTCTTATTAAAATTGTAGAAAATTGTAGATTAAGAGTTATGTTCAAACTTATAAAAAGAATCAATGTGATAATTAGAATTGTAGTACAAATTTTTTAAAAGATTTAAGTGCAATATTACTAATTATAGTTGCGGGTTGGGTATTATCTGCACCCGCAAAATTCCCACGGGAGCACGAATAGGGTAGGAATTTCATTACCCGCGCGGGTGTAGGTTGGATGCGGGGAGTGGGTTGGGAATGCCGGTGCGGGGGCCGTCCCGCCCCATTGTCATCCCTATCCCTAAGTATGATTGTTGTATCTCATGATGTGAATTTGAAAAGTTTCATCTTTTTTATTTTATTTTATAGTTTACCTTTTTGGTGTAAACTACAAGGTGGTTCGGGTCTTTCTCTGTCCGTTTAATGATTCAAGTCCACCCAACTCAAGAGCCGGCCCAAGGGAAATCACTTGTGAGAATTGAACACATTATTATCCCAGAATTTTCCTAAACAAAAAGAGCTCATTTAGCACTTAAACTACCATGTTGAGTATAGTTTACCTTTTTTCATTCAATATATAATTTTTCTAATTTACATTTATTTTGCTAGTTATTGCAATCACTTATCCATTAGCCAAATTAATATAACATTCTCACAATTTGGGAGAAGAATTAAAATGTATAATTATCATTTGAATATATATATATATATATATATATATATATATATATATATATATATATATATATATAATAATGCTCATATGTGGTCATGTTGTTAGGTGTGGTCGTGTGACGAAATTTTAGAATACACCAACAGTGTAAACAACATGCACCAACAGTGTAAGGGAAACACACCACAATAAAATGTAAAAAAAAAAAAAAAACACCAAAAAATACACAACAGACCCAAAAAATATACCATATAACTCACCAATCCCAATAGTGTATTTTCAAACACTGTATGGTGTTTTTACTCACACCTAATGGTGTGTTGTTGGTGATACGTACCTAATTTGTGTGCGTTTTTTGTGGTGCATTTTCTGACATTGATGGTGTATATCTTAATTAACTATTGGTGTATTATATATATATATATATAGATAGAAGGATCAAATGGGAACATAATTTTCTTGTAAAAAGTAAAGATTTATCTTAATCACTTATTCAATTCATTTTATAATTATTACAAATTTAAAAGTATAGTAATCACAAAATCTTAATCTTTTATTTCTCAAAATGAAGGATATGGCCGTGTTCACAACTTTTATAAAGAAACGTATTATCATATCAACCCCTTGCATATCACAACCACCGGAAAAAATTATTAAAAGATTAAAAAAAGAAGAAGAAGCGATATTGGAGTAGCTAGCCGGAGGAATAAAAAATAAAAAATATATATATTAAAAAAATAAAAAATAAAAAATAAAAATAAAAAATAAAAAATAAAAATAAAAAAAGAGTTAAGGCGGCATAATCGTAGTCGGTGACGTCAATTACATCATCACAAGCTTCCAAACCGCAATATATATCTGTATAATTAAGGAAGTAACGCTGTATTTTCCTTTGACTTTGCTTTTTCTTTCTTTGTTTTTTCTTCGGCAACAAGTAATCCAATACTAGGCAATTCTACATCGTACTAGCAACACTCTCAAAGATCCACACGCCTCCCCCTCCTATATATACGGAAGTACACTTTGCTACAACCTAATTAAGTTCAAAAAACCTTCTCAAACTCCATACTAAGTAAACACCCAACAACCAAGAAATCATCAGATCAGATCTAAATAACATAATGACGCTGAAGAGAAGTAGAGAAGAAGTAGCAGCGGGGGCGGAGGCGATGGCCATGGCGAATTGTCTGGAGTTGCTCTCCCGTCCGGCAGGCGGCGGCGGCGGCGAGAAAACGCCGCCGTCAGAATGGGAATTCGAGTGCAAGACCTGCCAAAAGAAGTTCAAGTCTTTCCAGGCTCTGGGCGGCCACCGGGCCAGCCACAAGCGCCCCAAAATCGACAACAATAATGTAGTGAATATCAAGAAACGACACGAATGTCCGGTCTGCGGCTTGGAATTCGGCCTCGGCCAGGCCTTGGGCGTTCACATGAGAAAACATCGCTCCGACCAATCACATAGTGACGACAAGAAATCCAAATCCCCAGATTTGTTAACAGTGACGACGGTGAAGAACGAGGAGCACAGCGCTGATGATGGGATTAAGAAGAAGGAGAAGCAGCAAGTTTTGTTTGACTTGAATTTTACGCTTCTAGAGAATGATTCCATTGTACATAGGAGATTAGTTCCTATAACTTTGGATTTGTTTGTTTAATTTTGTAGTTAGTACTATGATTCAGAGTTGTAAATTCATTAGATTATTTGTTGATTGAATTCATCTCATTTTTGCTCATCAGTATACATATATGGAATGAAATTAGTTATGTACTAGCTAGCTTAGATTTAAACTTGTGTGACACGGGGCTTAACTCACTAGCTCATAGAGCTAGAGTATTTGGAAAAAGAAATCAAGATTCGAATCTTGACAGGGGTAGTATAAGACTTATATATGTTCAAAGTGGACAGATCTCTTATGCACACCGATATTTAACTCTGTTACTGTGATTTAAATCTTTTTATATGTTCTGTTTTGTCGGATTGGGAATTCAACCTTGTCACTGTGATTTAAATCTTTCTATATGCTCTTTGATCGGGGTTGGGAGTTTAACATTTTTGGGAGAAGATTTAGACATGTACAAAATTAACAACCAGAAAAAAAAAACAAAAAAAACAAAAACGATTGATTATTTTGTTTATAGTAAGTTCAAAACAATCTAAATATTTCTATTTTGTATTAATTTGGAAGCTTCACCTTAAAGTTGAAGCTTTAATTTGTCACAAATGTGATTAATCCTTTCAAATTTGACATTTAATTTTATATACAATTTTGAAGACTTAACTCATTCCTATCTAACACCGACTAACTAACAATTCAATTTTAGGAGTTTGTATTGAAAGTTTTGATGACATGGAAATAATATATTTTTATTTGTACACTTAGTTTTCTAATTTAAATAATTAAATAGTACAATTAGGGTACTTAATTATTTTTTTTGAATGCAGGGTACTTAATTATTGTTTATTCATAAAAGACAATTGATTTGACTTACTAAATTTATGCATGTATTAATTTTAAAAGTAGTGATTCGATCTAATATATAAGATCAATAAGTTTGAGTAGATTTACATTGTTTGATGTCTGGCATCCCCAATTTATTTAAACCACAGCTATTACATATAATAAATATTTATATTTTATTATAATTTTAGGCTTCCATGTTAATATAGGAGATTTGTTCCTACAAATTTAAATTTGTTTGTTTAATTTTGAAGTTAGTACTTAGTACTAATATATATATATATATATATATATATATATATATATATATATATATATATATATATATATATATATATATATATATTTATTTATTTATTTATTTATTTATTTATTTATTTATCATTCCTTATGAATATATTGAATTATTTATATATTAGCTTAGATTTGAACATATGTGTATAAAATTAGTTAAAAATGTAAAATATTTTGTGTATACTAAATTCGAAACATTACAAATATTTATATTTTGTAACAATTTTGAACCTTTATCTTCTATTGAAGGTTTAATTTTGTGCAAATAATCTTTTTAAATTTGACATAGGCTCTGTTTGACACGCACAATTGAAAAATTAACTGAAAAGTTAATAGCTAATAAGCTAACTAATTGAAATTATAGTATTGTTTACTAAGCTGATAAATACAAAGAGACAAAGGGATAAACTAATATATTAGGAATTTGATTAATGAAGGATAGATGATGTCATTTTTTGTAAATTAAGAAAGATAAAAAAAATAAAAAAAAAAAAAAAAAAGTAAAAGTTAAAAATGAGGAACTTATTTTGAAACGCTAGTTAAGATAGCACTTTAAAATGAACTATTATTTTAATCTTTCATTTATTTGATCAAACAGAGCTTATTTGCTTATTTGTAGCTTAAAATTGGTGCGGGTGGCAGTCCCAAATGCGGTTGTGCGGGGAGTGGAGAGCCATTTATTTTGCTTAAATTAATGTCTAGGATTAACAAAATTTAAAATAAAATTTAAAAAAAAAACGGTAGCAATTTTGGTAATTTTTGCAAAAAGATCAAATTTAAGGTACGTGAATTTTGTGCTTAAGGTGCGTAAGTTTTGTGCTTAAGGTGCGTGTGTTTTGTGTTTAAGGTGCGTGAGTTTTGTGCTTAAGGTGCGTGTGTTTTGTGTTTAAGGTGCGTGAGTTTTGTGCTTAAGGTGCGTGTGTTTGGTGCTTAATGTGAATAGTTTTTGAAACTTAAGGTGCGTGAGTTTTGTGCTTAAGGTGTGTAGGTTTTGTGCTTATGGTGCGTGGGTTTTGTGCTTAAGGTGGGTCATGTTTCTTCTTCGCGAACCATTCTCTGTGAGTTACGGATAGTTCAGACCCTCAAGAAGAACAAAACTTTTGAACTGAGGGGTGGTTCAGACCCTCAAGAAGAACAAAACTTTTGAACGGAGGGGTGGATCAAACCCTCAATAACAAAACTTAAGGTGCATTGTTATAACACTTAAGGTGTGTTATTCTAATACATAAGGTGCGTCATGTTTCTTCTTCGCTCACCATTCTCTGAGTCACGGGTAGTTCAGACCCTCAAGAAAAACAAAACTTTTGAACTGAGGGGTGGTTCAGACCCTCAAGAACAAAACTTTTGAACAAAACTTAATATGCGTCATTTTAGCACTTAAGGCGCGTTGTTATAACACTTAAGGTGCGTTGTTCTAATACATAAGGTGCGTGTTTCTATCACTTAATGTGCACCATTTTTAGCTCGTTTCTTCCAAACACACGTTTTTTTTTTTTAATTTTCATTGATTTGAGCCGTCAACCGCACGGGAAGCTTTTACCGCACATGAACATAATTCTATATATATATATATATATATATATATATATATATATATATATATATATATATATATATATATATATATATATATATATATATATAGAATTATGTTCATGTAAAAACATGGCTTAAAATACAAACGTGTGGACATTTCTAGATCGTTAGATTTTGGATATCTAAGGTTGTGAATAGTTTTTATGTTTTTGTGTGTTGTGTCCGCCTGTGTGTACTGTCGTTCATGGGCGTGTGCACACTGGCCCAAATAATGTGGATTCACACATACATACTACGGAATATATATATATATATATATATATATATATATATATATATATATATATATATATATATATATATATATATATATATATATATATATATATATATATATATATATTCAGTTCTCGTGCGGTTGATTGTCTCCCGTGCGGTTGTGCGGTTAAATCTGAGCCATTCATATTGCTTAAATCAACGTTTAGGATTAACAATGATTAAAAAAAAAATGTGGTGGCAATTTGGTCTTTTTGCATCTAGGTCAAATTTAAGGTACGTGATTTTCCTTCTTAAGGTGCGTGGTTTGTGTGCTTAAGGTGAGTCAGTTGTTAAAACTTAAGGTGCGTCAGCTTAAAGCTTTAGGTGCGTGGTATTCCTTCTTAAGGTGCGTTGTTTTACTTCTGAGGGCTCGTTTGGTTCGGGAAAAATATTTTAAGGGAAGTGGAATTGAAATTCCATGAAAAAACAATTACTAGAAAAATGAATTTCATTGTTTGGTTGGTGGAAAAAGAATTACTGGGAATACTAATTCTATTGTTTGGTTAGATTTGGAATTGTAAGGAATAACGAGTATAAAGACCTATAAGCCCCTACAAATTAATAAGAGTAATATAATTAAAAAAGAAAACAATGGTAAAATTGGTAATCCATATCACATTTTCTTCCTATCTCCCATGGAAAACAAAATCCTTGGTCCAACCAAGGATTTTGTTTTCCTCAAATTTTAGGAATTCATTTTCAAATGGAAAATGAATTCCATGAACTAAACATCAGAAAACAACATTTTCCTCCACTTGGAAAATATTTTTCTTTGGAAAACATTTTCCATGAACCAAGCATCCCCTTAAGGTGCGTTCTTTGTTGAAACTTAAGGTGCGCCATTTTAAAACTTTAGGTGCGTGGTTTGTGTTCTTAAGGTGCTTTGTTTGTGTGCTTAAGGTGCGTACGTAGTTTGTATACTGAATTGAAGGTGTGCCACTTTAAAACTTTAGGTGTGTTGTTTGTGTTCTTAAGGTGCTTTGTTTGTGTACTTAAAGTGTGTGGCTTGTGTACTTAAGGTGTGTCATTTTAATGCTTAAGGTGCATCTTTTTGAGTTAATCGCACAACCGCACGAGAAGCTATACCCGCACCTGAACCATTCCCTATATATATATATATATATATGGGGAAAAGGACTTCGGGACCATGCATGGTCCACACAATGTTATGTGGACCATAACAAAAAGTACATTTTTAATATACTAAATGTATATTATTTTTGTACTGAATGTACATTATTTTACAATAGACAAAATATGATCCACACATAGTCCACACAATAATGATTGAAGGACTTCCGCCAAAAACCAACTAGTTGGGTTTCTCAACTTGAGAAGTAAACAGTTTTGTTGGGTTTCTCAAGTTGAGAAATCCAGCGAGCATATATGATTATATGAATGATAAAAAGATTTTATTATTATTATTATTATTATTATTATTGTTGTTGTTGTTGTTGTTGTTGTTGTTGTTGTTGTTGTTGTTGTTGTTGTATGATTGTTATATTTCTTTTTATTTATAATCATGCATATTTTTATTTTTTTTTTAAGTTATAGTTTAGACCACGAGTGGTCGAAACATTAGCGTTCATTTTTATACTTTATGCGGTTAAAATTTCTGACCACAAAAAAAGTGGTTTAAAATTTCAACCACATTATTGCTTGGTGGTCAAATTAAAATTAGCAAAAAGTTATGCAAATGTCAAAAGTGATCAGAATTGATGTTAAATTAAACACACTTGATTTCTAACCACTTTTTGGTGGTTGAAAAATTTAAGTATTTTTAGATATGGTTGTTGGAGTGGGAATTACTAACTAGGATTAATGTTTCATTGCCTTGCAATATATATATATATATATATATATATATATATATATATATATATATATATATATATATATATCAAGCTCAGTCTTTTTTTTTTTTCTAAACAAAATAGCAGAATTTGTCAAATTTGCATCAAAACATCGAATTTAATATGAAATTATCAAATTTTAAGCAGTTTGACCAAAGTTTAATTTCTTCCATACAAGATTATCAAATTTAGAAGGTTTAGTCTAAAGTGTTTTAAGGTGGAAAAATTGAATTTTTCATGTCAAAAAGCAGGGGCATTATATTATTATATTATTCAAACCATTTCTATTGCATAGATACATACTCTGCATCGAAGATTATAGATTCTGAAATAGTAAGTTATGGTCAACCAATTCTACCTGCATCATGTGAAACACGAAGCTTCACTTCACTCCCAAACTACGACTCGTAGCCGCGTAACTTGTTTAAGAAACAACTAGTGTTCGTAGTGCCTTGCCAGTGAATTCCTAAACGATAAATACCACTTTCCGGAAATTTCTATGATGTTTCACAAATGTTTTACCCAAACTTTCTACTCTTAAACACGTTTGTCTGTTTGTTGGGTTTCTCATGTTGTCAAATTAAGGGAGCATAGAAGCTAAAAGTCGTTCTTGTGTAATAGGACGCAATCCAAAATTACACATAAAATTAATGGTAAATTAAATAAAATATTAGTAAAAATTAAACTCATAATTTTTCAATACTTTACTTACTCCAATAACCATTTCAAGGCATATATTTGTTTTTTCATCTAGTAAATGTGGATGGTGTGGTTGGGCAAGTATGTTACTTGATATTAAGTGTAATTCGTCTCTAATTTCGGGATCATTAACTAAAATACAACATGTTTAATTCTTGAAGTAAAATTTGTGAGAATATAATCTTATTCTATAAGGATATATTATTGGGAAAAAATTGAAATCTTATATATATATTTTTTTCTATTATTAGGTTCTTTGAGGACCGTGAATGGCCAAGTTTAGCAATTGGGGGTTAGGGGATTGTTGGATGAAGGTAATAGAAACAAGTCCAGTACCTTACCTCTCGAAAATGTTACGGTACCGACGTACCGTATAAAGAAATAAAATTACGTCTTGTTTACGAACTATAGATTTTGGCGTAGTAGTAAATGCTTAATTTTAAGAAGTGGTATCAGAATCATGTCAAAAGTTCAAGTCCCAGACTGACTAGTGCTGAAATTGTTGGACGAAGGCCGAAAAGGCAAGTCCAACAATTGGTAGTTATGTGAGTTTCTCCAAAATGTGGAGGTATATAAGGAAATAAAGTTGCGTTTTCGCTTTATTAAAATAACTATCTTCCTTGCAATGTAGCATTTTCTTTGTGGAAATATTATTCCCGAAGATAAAATATATTTACAAAGGCAAAACTTTGTGTAAAACTATCTCACCTGAGACATTTAATACATTTTAACAAAAATATTATACTTTTTTATTGGTCCAAAAAAAATGTATCACACATTCAGAAAAATTAAAATTTAAAATAAAAAACAATACATGTCTCACATGATCAACAATTTCACACAAATCTAATTGATTTACAAATATAAAATAATCTTTTTCTAGAATATCAATCATATTTTATAAATTAAATGAGTGAACCCACACCAACAACTCACAGGGCGTTTGGTTGGTGGGGGAATTACGTAGGAAAGGAATTGCAATTCCAATGGAGATAAATTACTGGGAATAAAGTGGGAATTTAAATTCCAGTGTTTGGTTTACAAGAATAGAATTACTGAGAATTTCAATTTCAACGTTTGGTATATGGGAATTGAAAGGGAATAAGTGGTATAAAGTCCAAAATGCCCATTGTTGTTGTGGTATTAAATTTAGATTTAAACAAAAAATAAAGGGATAATTTTGACTCATCATTAGCTTTTTTTCTTCCTAAAATTCCAGAAATTAAAATCTCAGAGTGACATGAAATTTTAATTCCATGAAAATGGGAGAATTGAAATTCCATGGAATTGTAATTCCTTCCAATCAAACTAAAAAATTTTATGAACTTTAAAATTATGTGAAAATTAAGTGGGAATAAAATTTAAATTCACCCCAACCAAACATCCTGTCAATTTATTATTGAATGATAGATTGTGGGTAAAAATTTAAAATCAAATTCTGACAATTGTAATGAGAGTTTCAACCAATAGTTTTACACTTTTACGCGATGCGTCTTTTCCGAATTACATTTTGTGTCTGTTCACACAAGGCCCAAATAAGTGCAAATGTGCAATGACTTGCGCTGCACGTGACTGTATCTATTACGGAGCATGAATCAATTAACGTGTGCCAGCTGTCTGCTGAGTGTTAAATTCGCACTTAATCAGTTACGAAAATGCACGGAAACATTCTAGAAGTATCCAGGAAGCCGTCTGTCACTTTAATTTTAGTTCACATCGTACGACTTGTCTTTAACTTCCTGCCCCACACGCGGTCTCACGTACCTGACGGCTCTTATTTGACTGCTAAAATTAAAAAAAAAATAGAGACTTTGAGGTAATTTTAAAGAAAAGATAATTCTATGTGAAAGAGAAAGAGGAGAGAGATAGTAATTTAAGTTTTTGTAGGAAGATTTTGATTTTCGTCAGATGTGTAAATTTCACCAAATCAGTGAAATTGTTCTCTGGTGCGCATTATGCACACCAAAAGCGTTCAGCCGAGCGCTTGGATTTCATGCGCTTGCTGAGCACATTATTTTATTTGCAGTTTCTTTTTCTTTTTTTCTTCTCTTTCCCTTCTCTTTCTTAGTCATCTCTGCAAAAACTCATCAAAATTCATGCATATTGATGATGCCTTAAGTGGTTCAAATAGAGTAAATCTCATGTTATATGTCTTGATTTTATTGGAGGACGATGAAAAGAAAGTAATAAAAATCTGGATTCATATTTTTTTGAATGAATCAAAATGTCATATGCAAATAGAAAGTGAACAGTGAAGTTGAATGTGAAAGTATGTGTAGTATTACTCGTTCAAATTATACCACAAAACTTGCTTACATACCGTTGATTGGAAATAGAAGTGTAGACCCACATTTTGCTTCACAATTTAATTTAAGTACCATGTACTTTAGAATATAAGAGAGTTGTATTTGAAGGAATATATATACATACACATGATAGAGACCTTTGTGTATTATATATTTTATATATATCAGTACGTCTTGTGTAAAATCATCTCACGTGAGACATGTAATAATTTTTTATTTTTTTTGTTAAAATGTTTTTTAATGAATTCATAAAAAATATTATATGTTAATTAAAATGTATTATATGTCTCACACATAAGACGGTCTTATACAAAACTTATAATTTATATATTTATTTGTAATTAATTAATATATATTTCTTCTAATTCTAATTAATCATCGATGATTTGATACTTTTATTAAAACTTATTCTAATTACTAAATGAGTATGTAATACTCTATAGCTAAAATGTAATACTTTTTATGAATATGTGAAAAATTATTACATTTTAACTAAAGAGCATTACATGATATATATATATATATATATATATATATATATATATATATAGTTTCACACATGACTTATTTTTACTAAATTACTAAATTGAGAAAAGAGTTAAATAAATTGAACTCCCAAATTATTATTTTTTAAGAAGTTAATTACATCCTCGAACTACAAAAATTTTTATATTCTAGCTTTTGAACTCTTTAAAAAGTACAATTAGAATATTTTTTAACTATTATTACATGTTATATTGATGTGATTTCTACACGTAATTTTCTTTGTTTATATGGATGTCAAATATACTATTTTAATTTTTTTTTTTAAACTTTTTCTTTATTGAAATAAAATTGAAGAAAGTTACAAGTGATGTGGCATCCGTGTATACAAAGAAGATTACATGTAGAAATCACACCAATATAACATGCAATACCATGTAAGTTACATGTAAGAATTTTCTAGATCTAATTGTACTTTTTTTTTTTTTTTTTTTGTGACGAGCAAGGGAAATTCGCAGCTACTATTCAAATATTTAAATTAGGTAAACTCCACTACTATGTAATAGCCTGCAAACTATACAAGAGTGGTAAATCACTCTAAGAATACCTTGTACAATGAGTCGACCAAGAGAATATTAGTAAAAATTAAACGTGTGACATTTAAATACGGGAATCATGCACCACTCATCTTAATTCTACTTTTTGAAAAGGTTTAATAGCTAATATAAAATTTTTTATAATCTAAATGTGCAATTAACTTTTCTTAATTAGTTTGGACCGGACTTATTTGACCCTTCCTTACTATATAATGACCCTGTTTGGTAAAATAGTTAGCTTATCTGTCAATTTTAACTTATTTGACCATTATTAATTATTTGATTTGGTTAAAAAATTAATATAGGTGTTTGGTTAATTAATATTTTATAACTTCAAAATGCTAAAATTCAAAAAGTTACTCAAAAAAACTTTTTCAATTAACTTTTTGAGAAAAAAAATTATCAAACAGCTATCAGCTAACAGCTAATTTACCAAACAATTTTCTACCATTGACTAATGTTATCAACGTAACTAATTATACTTTTTAATTAATCCAATTAGCTAACAACCCTTTACCAAATAGGGGCAATATATATTTCAAATTTATAATTTAAAATCTCATTGTTGGAACAAAACATGCCGTATTTTTAATTATTGTTTAAAGCACTCGGAATATGAAAAGGAAAGGATACGACTGGCGACTTTTAAACTGTTGACTTTCTCTGAAAATTAAAAAGGGATAAACCTTCCACGTGCAAAATCCAAATTAATACTACACGCAATTGTTGAAGTCAGCTTCTATGATCTATCCGCATACGTACTCGCCGGCGACCTTTATATAAGAAACCTTTATATAAGAAACCCCAAACTCCATCTCTCACCATTATCTCTCACATTTCTACTCTCATCATCCGAAAAACACACAGAAATCTTCATTCAATTTCAAGTCCCAGTATGACAATGCTCATGAAAAGAAGCAGAGAGTACGCCGGCGTCGAGGCAGAGGCCATGGCGAATTGCCTAATGCTTCTGGCGCACGTTGGCCGGAATTCTTCTTCTTCTCCGCCATCGGCGTCGAAGGATCTCTGTTCTTTCCAGTGTAAGACGTGCGACAAGAAGTTCCCGTCGTTCCAGGCGTTGGGTGGCCACCGGGCGAGCCACAAGAAGCCGAAGCTGGTGGCTCCGGCGCCCGGAGAGCAAGAGAGTTCGCCGGAGAAGTCCAAGATGCACCGCTGCTCCATATGCGGGCTTGAGTTTGCCATGGGGCAGGCGTTGGGTGGGCACATGAGGAGACACCGGGCGGCCATGATGAAGGAAGGGTTTGAGAATCCGCCGGCGGCGATTCCGATGGCGATGGCGATTCCGGTGTTGAAGAGGACGACTAGTAGCAAGAGAATTTTTGGGTTTGGATTAAATTTGGATCTCAACCTGACGCCGGCTGAGAATGATGATTTGAAGATAGAGTCGACCACGCCAGCAACTCCGGTCTTACGTTGCTTCATTTGAATTTGGTCAATTCTTTTTTTGTTTATTCTTTTGATTCTTGGGATTACAGTAGACATTCTTTGATTCCTTCAAATATGTGTAGACATACATTCCTCCTAATCTTATATTTTATTTTTTGTTTTATTTTTACTAACTATTTGACATAAATTAAATTTCGAAGTTTGATTTGATGAGATGTCACTCATCATTTGTGCTAATGAACCATAGCATGCAAATTTTAATTTTGGTGTTTTGGTCAAGTTTAGCAGTATGAGTATTGCAGTATGAAGGTATATTACATTATATATATATATATATATATATATATATATATATATATATATATATATATATATATATATATATATATAGGGAAGGGATAAGGTGCATTCGTGGCTTTCCGTGCGGATGTGTGGTGGATTAATGTGCGTGAGGTTTATACTTAATATGCGTGAGATTTGTACTCAATGTGCCTGAGATTTGTACTTAATGTGCGTCATGTTAATATGTGTGAGTTTTTTATTTAATGTGCCTGAGTATTGTGTGTAATGTGTGTGAGATTTGTGCTTAATGTGCGTGAGTATTTCAGAATTACTAGCTCATAAGGAAGCAGAACAGAAACTCAAGCACATTAACGCCCAAGCTTCTTGTTACTTCTTCCTTCAATTTGGCCATGAATTCTGGATTATCAGCTACCTTCAATGCAGTTGAATGTTTATATAAATGACGTACGCACAGTAAAATTTGCACAGCAGCTAAGTGTGGATTTCTGTTGTATTATTCCGATAATTCTTAACCACCATAGCTCGCCTCCACATCATCATTAACAGGGAGGGGGCAAATGGCTACTGGGGATGGGGAAGAAACTGACATCAATATTTTCTGCTGCATTTTACATATTCACGCACATTAAGTACAAATCTCAGGCACATTAAACACAACACTCACGCACATTGAGTACAAATCTCACGCACATTAATCTACCGCACATCCGCACGGGAAGCATTTAACCGCACGGGAACCTTTCAATATATATATATATATATATATATATATATATATATATATATATATATATATATATATATATATATTAGATCTGAGCCGTTGATCAAATCTAGATCAACAGCTCAAATCAATTATTTTTATTTTTTATTTTATAAAAAAAAATGTCCATCCTGCATCAATCTCCTTCATGCTTACGTACTTCAAAGATAACAACTCCACCATAATTCACTCTACTGATTATAAAACAAAAACTACAAAAATGGCGCACCTTAAGATGAAAAACAACGCACCTTACGAAGGAAAAAACAAAGCACTTAAGAAGGAAAATAATACACCATAAAAAGGAAAATCACGCACCTAAAGGTTTAGGCTGACACACCTTAAAAAAGAAAACAACGCACCGAAAGCCTTAGGCGACGCACCTTAAGTTTTAACAATTGATCGACGCACCTTAAATACACAAACGACGCACTTTAAGAAGGAAAACCACGTACCTTAAGAAGGAAAATCACGCACTTTAAGAAAGAAAACCACGCACTTAAACTTTTAGGTCAACGCACCTTAAGTTTCAACAACTGACGCACCTTAAGCACAAAAATCATGCACCTTAAGAAGGAAAACCACGCACGTTACATGTAAGAATGTTCTAATTGCACTCTTTTTTTTTTTTTGCTTTTCTTTTTTTTTTTTTTTTTTTTTTTTTTTTTTGGTAACGAGCAAGGGAAATTTGCAACTACTACTCGAATATTTGCACTAGAATAGGTAAACTCTACTACTGTGTAATAGCTTGCAAACTACACAAGAGTGGTAAATATAAGCGCCCTAATAATACCCTGGACAACGGAGTCGACCAAGAGAATATTAATAAAAATTAAACTTGTGAAATTTAATTAAATACGAGAATCATGCACCACTTACATTAATTGTACTTTTTGAAAAAGTTTAATAGATAATAAAATTTTTTATAATCCGAATGTGCAATTAACATTTTTTTTAAATATAGTTAGAACCGGAATTATTTGACCATTCCCTTACTATATAATAGAGGTGGCTAGGGGCCGGTTTAAAGTCGAACCTGCCTTGAATTGGCCCGAAAAAAGCAAGCCTCGGCTTCACCGGGCTTAGCCCAAATCTGAACCGGCTTATAGATCAGAGTTTACTCCGGACACGACCTAGGTTCTATAAAAAATAGCCCGGAGTCCGGGCACGACCTTGGTCGCTAACCAGCCCGGGCACGACTCAAGCTGGGACCAAATCTAGCACGGACTTTATAAATTATAATACACTTTATAATATTTATAAGTTATCAAATAATATTACAAGTCTTATGAAAAATTTTAATATTACAAGTTCAAATGTTATTAAAGTCTTATAAATTTTTAATTTTTGTAGAAAGTCGTCATATTAATTTTTTTTATTTTAAAATTAATAGTTAAAATATTATTTTAAACAAAAATATTAACTTTGAAAAATTGCCTGTGAGTATGTGTGTATATATATATATATATATATATATATATATATATATATATATATATATATATATATATATATATATTAACTTGTATTATTATATCGAGTTAATACCCAAAATGGTCCCTCGACTATGTCATAATTACCAATTTGGTCCTCAACTACCATTCTTACCCAATTAAGTCCTCAACTATGTAACTTTTACTCAATTAAGTCCTCAACTATACAATTCTTACCCAATTTAGTCCTCTGTATTAATTTGACTGTTTGTTGACTGTCAAAAGTCGAGATAAAATTATAATTTTACAAGATTTCTCCTTCTTCTCCATTTAGCAGCGCCAAACCATGCAGCAATACACTCCGATCAGATTTCGATCGTCAAAAAATCGTTGGAAATCAAATTCATGGGCTATCCGATGCATAACCACTACTTCGATACTGACATGTTTAGAACCCAACCGGAGCTTATTGCTACATGGTTTGGCGCTGCTAAATGAGGAGGAAGGAGAAAACTTGTAAAATTACAACTTTATTTCCACTTTTTACAGTCAACAAACAGTCAAATTGATAAAGGACTAAATTGGGTAAAAAATTGTATAGTTGAGGACTTAATTGGGTAAGAATGATAGTCGAGGACCAAATTGGTAATTACGACATAGTCGATGGACTATTTTGGGTATTAACTCTATTATATCTAAAGATTGAAGTAGTTTAAGTGGTAAGAACATTCGTTGTTAATCATGCGGTCAATGGTTTAAATTTCATTTCAAATAAAAGGAAAAAAGAAATAATTTATAAACAATTTTTATAAAAGTAAATTAAAAAAAATTATGGGCCTAACCCGGGACTGGCCCACAAGAGGCCTGGGCCCAAGTCCATAGTAGGTCTTGATCAGTGCTAATCTAAGCCCAGACTTGATTCAGACTGGCACGAGACTAGCCCAGACCCGCGATTTGACCACCTCTACTATACAATATATATTTTAAATTTATAATTTAAAATCGGGATAAGAGTCAAAGCCCTCCAACTATGTGTCAAAATACAATTAGACCCTGGAACTAAAACAACATTCAATTCCACCCTGACACTTGTTAAAAATGTACAATTAACACATTTAATTAAATGTTTTTCTAATTCAAAAGTCTAATTACATTTTGATATATAGTAGAAGGGTCTATTTGCTCCTTATCTCTTTAATTATTGTTTAAGGCACTCGGAATATGAAAAGGAAAGGATACGACTGGCGACTTTTAAACTGTTGACTTTCTGTGAAAATTAAAAACGATAGACCTTCCACGTGCAAAAGCCAAATTAATACTACACGCAATTGTTGAAGTCAGCTTCTCTGATCTATTCACATACGTATTCGCCGGCGACCCATATATAAAGAAACCCCAAACTCCATCTCTCAACCATCATCTCTCACATTTCTACTCTCATCATCCGAAAAACACAGAGAAATCGTCATTCAATTTCAAGTTTTGCTTTAGTCCCAGTACGACAATGCTCATGAAAAGAAGCAGAGAGTACGCCGGCGTCGAGGCAGAGGCCATGGCGAACTGCCTCATGCTTCTGGCGCACGTTGGCCGGAATTCTTCTTCTTCTTCTCCGTCGTTGGTGTCGAAGGATCTCTGTTCTTTCCAGTGTAAGACGTGCGACAAGAAGTTCCCGTCGTTCCAGGCGTTGGGTGGCCACCGGGCGAGCCACAAGAAGCCGAAGTTGGTGGCTCCGGCGGCCGGAGAGCAAGCGAGTTCGCCGGAGAAGCCCAAGATGCACCGCTGCTCCATATGCGGGCTTGAGTTTGCCATGGGGCAGGCGTTGGGTGGGCACATGAGGAGATACCGGGCGGCCATGATGAAGGAAGGGTTTGAGAAGCCGCCAGCGATTGCGATGGCGATGGCAGTTCCGGTTTTGAAGAGGACGACTAGTAGCAAGAGAATTTTTGGATTTGGATTAAATTTGGATCTCAACTTGACGCCGGCGGAGAATGTTAATTTGAAGATAGAGTCTACGACGCCGACGCCGACGCCGGCAACTCCCGTCTTACGTTGCTTCATTTGAATTTGTTCAATTCTTTTTTGTTAGTTTATTCTTTTGATTCTTGGGATTATAGTAGACATTCTTTGATTCCTTCAACTCACGTACATTCCTCCTAATATTATTGATGTATTTAATTAACCTGGTTGCCCGAATTATTAAATTCGGATAAGAATGTAATACAGACGAGTTATAAATGGACGAAACGATATCGTAAAGGCCGCGAAGACGGTATATTGTATTTAAATGCCGTGAATAGGCTATTACAATATTTGTTTTAGTACAAAGTATGTAAGATAATGATGAAGATGGGGATAGAATGTCTTAATAGGACAAATGCATGCCTATTTATACAAAATAATCCTAACTAACTCGCTAATTTCACGGTGGGCCATAAGACTAAGTCGAGGCCCATGCGATGGGCCATATGACTAAGTCAAGGCCTATCATTCTGGACCCGGAGGCAGGCTCCGGGCTTGAGACTCTTCTTGAGTTGCTCGGGTAATTATACATACTCGGACCCCGAGTCTCTCTATTATTATTGGGCTATTTCCAGTATATCCATCATCAGTCCCCCACTCTCTAAGTTGCGAGAAGTCGACAACGAGAGAGAGTAAACGTTTGGCCCAATTGAAACTGCTCGGGGCTCCATGCTTGGATGATTGCTTCAGGGTCAACTTGAAAAAATATTTCGCTTATTCCAACACCTTTTAAGCTTTTAGCTTTGTGATCCGAGTCATCTCCGTTCAAGAGTGGGCTTTCCGGACGACGCATGGTCGCTTATTAGATTTTTGCTCGCATGATTTTTTTGTTTTTATTTTTGTTTTTATTTTTTTTACGTAGTATGTAGTTATTTGGCCAAGGGTACTATCGGTCCAAAAACTCTTTCGTCGAGTGGCAAATGAGGTCGGACCTCGTGCCCCCTTAGTGTGGTAGCCCTTCGACCCGAGTCATCTGACACCGAGCCGTTAGGCTCTTTCGTCAGGGTACGCGAGGTCGGACCTCGTGCCCCCTTAGGGTGATAGCGCTTCGACCTGAGTCATTTGACACCAGGCTGTTAAGCTCTTCCGTCGGGGTTGGTACGCAAGGTCGGACCTCGTGCCCCCTTAGGGTGATAGCCCTTTGACCTGAGTCATTTGACAACGGACTATTAGGTTCTTCCGTCGGGGTTGGTACGCGAGGTTGGACCTCGTGCCCCCTTAGGGTGATGTTAACGTTTCCGTGCCCGAGCCGGAGGCTTGACCAAGGAAAGGTTCTTCCATCGGGTAGCTAGCAGTATGGATCCCATGCTGGCCTTTAGGGAATGCATTGAGCGAGCAATACATATGGTTTTTTTTTTTTTTTTTTTAACAATCGGAATTGACTCAATTGGCTCGTCGACTGTGGCTCGGACGACGAAGTTCGCAATGATCCGAGGACCGTTGGTCCGAAGTCCTTGGTCTCGGCCCCTCTCCCCCCTCGGAAGGGTAAAATTTTCTGAACTACTCGGACCAATTTTATAATAAAAAATACTATATTATAACAAAAACAAATTGTTGGTTGGATCAACATATATGTAATAAGCCAAAAATAGGTTTTTCTGTCAGGTAGTGAGCAGGGACGGACCCCCTACCACCGCGAGGATGTCAAGGTCAGGGCCGGCGCGCACGACCGCGATCATAGACAAACCATTATACTTGATAGATTATATGAACCCGGGGTTCGGATTATGCAACCCGAATATAAGTCGAACGTGACAAACGAATAATAAAATGATAATAATAGGGGTGTGTATGAAAATGATATTGTATTAATTGAGCGTAGAATGCTATTACAGAGGTTTGGGACGTATAATAACGTTACAAGTATTGTATGAAGGTAGTAGATGATTGATTAGGACACCGGGGGGTTTTTATATACCCCTCGACCGCTACGGGTCCTAGGTCCGCGGGAGGAGCCGCGGCCCGTGCCGCGAGACTCGCTCCACGCGAGGACCCAGTCCTTGGCCGAGTACGGAGCTCGGCCAAGGGGTCGACCATGGGCTCGGCCGAGCCCACGTCGACGAGCCCATGGGGGCTGTGGCCGAGCTCGTGGAGGTCAGCCGACGCCGAGCCGACCCCATGCCGGGCCGACCCTGGGGCGGTTCGCCACGTGTCGCGGGTGGGTGCCGGGTCCGACCCTGTCCGTATCGCTCTGCTCCGATCCTGCTCCGTGATTATTCCATCATCAGTCCCCCACTCTCGGGGCTGTGAGAAGTCATCCGCGCGATAGAGTAAAACAAATTTAATAATTACGGGACCACAAATCGTGTTCCAAAAAATCCAACCCACACCCAGGTAGAATTTTCATCCCGATAGGACTCCCAACCAGACTGGAATTTAGACATGTGTTCATCCTTATCAGCTCAAGAATCCTCATCCCACCATAACACTTCAACTTCCCGCATAAATACCCCCTCCATCTTCCAAAACCCCACTCCACATTCCCAAAGTCCCATCCCTCCCTCTTACCAAAGTTTCCCCCTTCCCAACACCCTTTTGAATTTCAAAATGTCAACCCCTTTTCCCCCTCTTTTCTTCCACCCCTTCCTCTATATAAAGTAGCACTTCCTCACTCCCCACACACACCACAAAGCTCCCCAAATCTGAAAAATCTCTCCCCCTTTCCCCCCATTTTCCAGCCATTTCCCCTCGTCGTCGATCGCCGTCAGCCGCCGCCGCCAGCCGCTGCCCGCCGAACCGCCGACCCCGCCATGGACCAGCCGACCCCAGCCCAACCGAGGTCGAGCCCCCATCCGGCCGACCCCAGACCGCCGAGGTCGAGCCCACACCCCGCCGAGCCCGCGTCCCCGAGTCCGAGCCCACGCCGCCGCGTTCCCCCACCGCGTCCTCCTTGCTTGTGTCGAGTGAGTTTCGTTGCATACCCTCTTTAGAGTTTCGTAGATAGTTTTTTATGTGTATAGTGCCTCTTGCCGAGGATGCGCACCTCATAGATTTACCCTTGTTCTTTGAGTTTTGCACCGTCCTGGACTCTATTGACTACGCGGATCTCCCGCCTAGTGATGACGAGTCCATTGACTTAGATCAGTTTTCTTCCCCTTACACTGGGCATTATTATCTTGAGTACCCTTACATAGACCCACTAGCTACGCATCCCACTTACATGTTGACTCCTACGCCTCTTCCGGATCCCTATAGGGGCATGCCAATGAGGCTATTGAAGCCCCTTCGGACATGGTTAGCAAATTCTCTGTTTCAAGAATTCGATCCAGCTTTTCCTCTATCATGTTACTAGTACCTCGTGAACGCTCCCATGTAAACTGATTACCACTAAAGGGAAAGTCTTGTAAACCACTGTCAGCAACTGCATCACGAAAACCAGTGATTAACCATGGCAGGTGTGGAGCTCGTCCTCTTTTCTCAGTTTGGTGCAATAGATCATTGTAATCACCCATAATAATCCATGGCATCAAACTTTGATTTGCCAGATTGCGTAGCAGCTGCCATGCTTCCCTCCTTCGCTGTCTCTCGGGATAACCATAATACCCAGTAAAACGCCAATAATGGTTGTCGACATCCAGTGTTAAGGTGGTATCAATAAAGTTGGCCGAGTAATTTGTGATCTGTAGGTTCACACAATTAGACCATAACAAAGCCAAATCACCTCTAGTATGTAACCTTTCAAATTGGCAGGAATTCCCAAGAATATGCACTTCTTGGCTCTTGGTTCCGTTTTATTTCTTCCTTGAGGGATAGTAGATCCAAAACACAAGCAACCAAAGGCTTTGAAATGGTGGTATTCCACACCTTTACCAAACAATACTTCAAAGGGGGATTCTCACCAGACTTGGCAGGGGGCAACCTATTATAATAAGATAAGAGGCATGTATGACACAATGACTCCAAAACTCTACAGGCAGTCCAGATTGGAATCTGAGTGCTCTGGCTACATTTAGGACATGTTGGTGCTTTCTTTCTGCCACTCCATTTTGCTGGGGTGTGAACACACAAGACTTTTGGTGCACAATTCCCTTCTCATTGCAGAAGTTACTCATTAGAAACTCAGTGCCATTATCTGTCCTTATGCCCTTAATTTTAGTGGAAAATTGAGTTTGAACATATTTGTAGAAGTTCTGGAATAAAGTTTTCACCTCTGATTTGTTTCTCATTAGATGTAGCCATATAAACCTGCTTTGGTCATCCACAATTGTCAAAAAATAGTGTTCTCCTTTTATGGAGGCCACAGGAAATGGACTCTAGATATCCATATATGTAAAAGATTAAAACATTTTTCAGTTCAAGAATTACTGATAGGAAATGCAGACCTTCTATGTTTTGTAAAATGGCATGCTTCACAAACAAAATCAGAAGATGAACAAATTGCACTTTTGGTCCTGTGACTATAGGGTACTGATAATTTGAGTACGTGACTTTCAAAACTCTCAATTTAAACCTTTAACTATGTAATTATTAGCAGATTGGTCCTGCTGGCCAAATTGCCGGCCAATTTTGGCCGGAAAAATTAAAACTATTTTTAATTATTTAATTATGAGGACAATTTGGTCATTTTAGAGTCTTCTTCCTCATTGAGTATTCTTCTTGATATTCTTCGAGACAAACGTCGTGTTGTTCGGACCAAAATTCGCGAAGAAAAACGGGAAAACAAACGTCGTGCTGTACTGCAGAACTCACAAGGTGGTGACTTCTCTTTTTCAAAGTATACTATTGCATACAGAAAATATAGTGAGGGAAATGTAGGAATGAACTAGAGAGAGACAGAGAAGGAGAAAGAGGAGAAGAAGAAGAAGAAGAAGACTACTGGAAAACGACAGAAGATCACCGCTTCAGATCTGCTTTATCTGCGTCTCTTTACCCAATTCAATTCATTACTGTTCAATGCAAAGCCTCTGAAAATAGGAGCTCCATTTTCTCTACTGAGTTTTTACTCACTCAGTCAACTCAGTGCCACACTTCTCTCTCCCTCTCTCTTTTTCTGATTCATTGTGGTCTAGAGTTTAAAACTCGTATTGGGTATTTTCGATTTTG